AATCATCTCATCTAAAAGTTTAAGCTGATACGGGGAAGATGAATTCACAAGTGTTGGAAAATGTGGCCTAGTCCCGTGAATTTGTACTATTGTCTTATGCCTGACATGTGACAGTCTATATCATACCATTGTTATAGGTCATGGTTTAAGGTTTAAAAACGTGAACTTGAGGAGTGTTTCGAAGCACCCCTCAAGGTAAGGCACTTAAATTGAACCTGGGGGCACGAATATTTAAGAGCAATAGAGGCATAAGCCTAAAACTATTAATGAGCTACTCTTTATTCATATCTTGGGTTGTGGTTTACCATTTTATTGAAACTAACTTTTCCTTTAGTTGACCAGCTATGGAGAGTCCAACTTGTGTTACATTATTAATTAATCAACTACAAATGAGAATAAATTATAGGTTTAAAGAAACGCCAAAACCAAGACAAAGACACACACATGAAGTATTGGTTTCAATACAAAGTATTGGTTTTAACCTAAAATTTACTCTTACTTCAAGTTGATTAACTAATAACCTAGCACAAGTTGGCATTTCCAAAGCCGGTCAACTAAAGAATAAAAGGTAGGTTTTCAATAAATATTGAGTCCCAACCCAAGATCAAGAATAAAGAGTGCACGCCTTTCATGGTTAGAGGCATGCGAGTTGAGGCTTGCGCCTCAATCAGTAGAGGTGTAAGCCTCATTAGTGCTCTTAAAATTTCGCGACTCCATGCTATATTTCAATGCCTCACCTTGAGGTATGCCTCAATTTCGCCTTTTTAAACCATGGGGCAATGGATATTCATATTATGACAACAAAGAAGATACCGTTACCTCAATCATTGCTACTCATATTCCTTGACTGCTCTAATATGCATTCAAATGATTCCATTCAAAGGATTGAGTCAAGCTTCTAGTCGACTCTGTCAATCCATGTACTAGCATATAGATTACCTCAAGCCTGCAAGTTCTTCAATTTAACGAATATTAATAATTTTTCTGACTCGTGTTACGCACAAGCTAACAATTTCACACAAGTAGTAACAATCAACAAGAAATTACTTAAAAGACATGTAGCTGAATTAATACATTCTTTCAATGCACAAGAACTTGAACAGTTTGAGATTCTCAGAAATGTTAGTGAAACTATTTAAACTGGAAAGGGTTGTTAAATAATGACACTAGTATCTGTTTCTTAGTTGATAAACTGTTTCGAAAGTTGACAAAATGGAAGACTACTGATCAAAATCATTATAAAATGCTGTGCTGCAGATGGCAGCAATGAAAGCAATCATTTCCATTATCTTCTTGTTTGCAGGCCACTTCAACGGCTACTCTCTACAATTTAGCTATGGCAGAGCACATAGAAGCTTTCCATACGGATTGATATAATTTAGAAACACCAGCAATTTTACATTTCTATATTATTTATCTCAGTTAGCCGTATTTAAAAAATCAGAGTCAGTTGATTATATATAATGACAAGCTTGACTTACGATCTTGTAAATGTGAAATTGCCTCTTAATATATGTTAATGGACTAAAAAATCTATGCAAGCAAATCGTTTCAGGAATTTTTCATTGCATCCTTCAACTTTCCAATGCAGAAAGTAATAATAAGTTTTATTAGTAAATTGTAAAGCAGTAAAGCCATTCAAAGTGTAATGGGTGAGGTATATATGTGGCACGTGTGTAGCACGTGCATACCACGTGCTATGCTTGTGCTAGAATTTATGTACAGCAGTATGATTACATTTGGGAACCCTAATAGGAAAGGTCAAAAAATTATGTTTCCTAACATGGAGTTATTGACACCATATCACCAAATTGAAATTTTGAGTGTTCCAACATCGAAGTCATATCATGAGCCAAGGTCATTCACGACTTCATATGACAAATATGCCGACATTGCAATTTTTCTTACAACCATGCTACATGTACCGAAATGGATGACAATGTGGATGATCGAACACTCACAATAGGGGGCCCACTTTTTTTTTTTGCAATTTTTTAATCACATGGGGTCTGCATGCATGTGAGAGGTTGTCAACCTCCATTGTCATCCATTTATGTACAAATGGGATTGCCCTTTTTCTTATACAACTTCAGGAACAACTTTACTTTTAATCTGAACAATATGTACTACTCCTGCACGTGTTCCCAAATTTGCAGCTCATTCTTCTATTATTCTCCTATGGCAAGTGAATCATAATTGCATCACCTGAAGTTAATGTCAATATTTTGCAAAAATTGAACAAATTATCCCATTGAGACAGACCATCAAACACTTCATACGCATAAGTGTAAAAGCACCATGAGGGGTAATTTTAATTACTGTTGCAGAGAATCTAGATATTCAGCTTTCCTATGGCATGCTGAGACAGTCTATGCCTGAACAACAATTCAACTGTCTTTGGTACAATGGAATAAAAGAATACAGGTATGTAAGTAAATTGGTTCATTTGGGCCTTTATCCACCTTGTAAATTCAACTAGTTGCTTCCACCAAGGGAAACACTTTCTTTGCAGTTAATCACAGCTAAAGTTCAGAAAAAATGTTTTTGACTTCAATTTAAAATTATCGTTATCTATGCATACAATACTAATTTGAACAATTGATCCTTAAAATAATGGGATAAGTTCATCACGTCGAGGAATTGTCTATTACAGTTCTTAGAAGGTAAGAGGAGATAGAAATCAAAATGTTCATATAAGTAACATGTCTCACCGGGAGAAAGTGATAGATATGGTTATTGAGTGACGCAGGGATACCGTGGTGGCCTAATGTCATCCTCCTCCACTTCTTCTTGCCGTCTTCTTAAAAATGCCATTACTTGCTTCCTATTCTCCCTCTGTGCAAATGAGTTTCTGTTGGTGGGTTTGGGCGTTGGGGCTCAATCATCATCTTTTTCAGAAACATAACAGTTGGCAATGAAGAATTGTCCATACACTCTTTTGGATTCCTTCCCTATTTACCTTTTAGTTTTAAGAGTCAAGCCACTTTGCTCGAAATTGGTGCCACCTTGGTTGACCAACCCTCACATTGCACCGTGGGTCCTGCGTGAATTAAATAATGCAGACCCCCATGTGTTTGTGTTCAGTCAACCAAAGTGTCATCCAAGATATTCATGCAGCATTAATCTACTTTTAAATATACTTTTGTAATGATGTCTTCTTGTTCTAAAAGTACAGAAAGCAACAATAAACTTCTGTTCAGAGAGAGATGCAAAAACCATATTGAAGTCATTTTTTCACATTGCTCCAGTGTTTTCCCCCTAGCCGGTTAGTCCTTTTTAGGAATTGAATGTAAACCAGAAAATCTGAGCTGAGGTCTAAGTTGTGGTGGCTGGTGGAGTGCAAATATCTTGTTCAACCGTCTCAAAGAATGTTAATTTTTCTTAAATTAAAGTATATTCTGAGACTAAATAACTTCCCATTCGGCACTTCCAACTTTTCAGTGTAAAGCCTAGGAGTTGAATGATGAAGCGCATCAAGATAAGCAAAATGTGGGAAACTGATCTTCGGTATTGAGTCTTCAAGGCTAAAGATGGTGCATTCTGTAGAAAGTCACCATGCAGTCTACGCAATTGAAAAATATTAAGCATCCAAATGGCACTGCAACACTAAACTAGGGGAAGGAGATAGAAGATTATTATAAAAGATTATTGTACAACGGAAACTTAAGGGATTGCACTCAATAGGTGCTTATCAAAAATCATGATGGCCATCACAACTAGAAAGGGATATAGATTATCGTACAACGGAAACTTAAGGGATTGCACTCAATAGGTGCTTAGCAAAAATCATGATGGCCATCACAACTAGAAAGGGATATTAAGAATGCTATAGTAGTCAGGCGTAAGCAGGTAGACAAAGTGCAAAATTCATATGAACGTTGGAAAGCCAAAGCTAAAAAGTGCTGCTTGCATAGTAATCACTATTGCAGATCAACATTTATGTGAAAATGATATGGGGAAAAAGAGTTTCAAATTGGATGCACATGGCATCAACTTAAGAGCATAAAGACTTCTTCACATTCAAAATTAGAGTTCATAAAAGTCACAAGTTGTAAAATCCTTGGGTATAAGTTTAGACAGACATTCATTTTTCTCAAAACGGCAATGAAAACCTCTTAAACTGAGAGATGAGAAAACATATGGCAGACACAGGATTTTGGATTAGATTTCCAGTTGTAAATAAAGAAGATACAAGCAGTCTAACGACCTCTGTTGGCACGACGCCGTCTCTGAGCCTGTTGAACAGAAAGGGGAGGTCGCCTGTTGTGTGCCTACACATTTACATGATATAATCAAAAATTAGAATTGCCCTTTTACAATAATTAAGGAATTTCTATTCACTTCAATTTTGAAGACATGGTCAAGTTTATCCAAGTATCCATCAAAAACAATATTTCTGAGATGTCTATCATTATCTTTCTTTTCCTTCTCATTTGCCTTAGACTACCTTAGATCTTGGATTCCAATGAGAAACTAGGAATTCTTTTTCCTCCCAATTCTTCAAGAACTCATTGACATAATTTTAGTAGCACATCAGAAAATTATATTGGAGAATTGTTATATAATGGTCCAGGAAAATACATCAACTTATGTGAGCAATATGCAATAATATAACCTTTGTGATGTTATAGTCTTGATTGATTTCAATGATCTCGATACAATAATATTAATACTAACCTTGAACTTCCATCTAAATGTTTATTCTCAATTGATATACATTCGAAGAGAGTTATCTACAGATCTCAGGCAACCATACATGAGTTAATTTCCATAATGATGATTTTGGTAAGGAGATGAAATTGTATTAGGAGTGCATTATCATGCAACTTTAGGAAGGAAGAGACTTACTCCAATTTGTGTCACGAAATGGCAAGAAGAACACTGAACCGCTGGTGCTCCATGTGGGTACATAAGTAAAACTGTACAACCCCCACAATTAACTTGTCCAATTTGATGGGCTGCAAAAACAAAGATGAAATCCTAAATCACATGAGACCAAGCAATCACAACACCCTTGCAATTCATACATGTCAATCTGAGCACAAATCCAAAAAATTTTAAGGAAGAATTCTGTTCTTTTGTTTCTTGTTTTCTCTCACTCGCATGAAAGTAAAGCATTTTAGCACGTTGTTGCAAGAAAATTTTGATTGCCCTCCATTACAAGGGAATGCAGAAAGTAAAGAATAATATAACAGATGTTAAGAGCACGACATGTCTCAGGTACTGAAAAGTTCAATTTGCCATAAATTTAAAACGACAAGCATACTTTGTATTATATATACAGACGAATGTAGGTCAGTGAGTCCCCCCATAAAATATTGCACTCGTGGAGATCAATTTGGAAAATAAATAATGATGCTCAAATCCAAAATTTCACAAGTCCAACGAGACAAGTGTACTAATGCTCCAAATATGCTGAAGATTATAAAGACTTAATCACCAAAGCTTGAAGAAACAAGATTTGACTTGTATTTGGCACCACCATTGGGAACTAAGATATGTAATATTGGACATTCTCTTAAGCAGGAAGAGGAGGGAGTAATTAGGTGATTGAGCTTACATTTTAAGAAAAGACTTTGGTATATAACCAAATGATAGATTTCACAAGAAGAATGTTCCACTCAATGAATTAAATGCATAACAGATTGACAAATCTATGACTTAAAACAAACATTTGAGTAAAAAGAGAAGTAAAACCTTCTAAGACAAAATTGACTTCCTGGCAGCCTGGACATTGGACCCATTTTGCTCCTCGCGGATACAAAAGCAATTTGCGGCAAGTTCCACAAACCAATTGAGCCTTTTCTGCATCAGCGTAACATAGAGGCCATGTAAGTACAAGTAATTCCAGAGCAAGGTTTCTACAGTCATAGCCAATGATCGTATATTACAAATGCAAAAGAATAAAATAGAGGAAAACTAGGTGCAGTAACAACAGGCAACGACATTTGATAAATATGTATTTATAGGAGGCACCATCTCACTGTTGTGTTTTTTTTTTTTTTTATAAGTAATCAGAGAATTTATTTATAAATCAGGAGATAATACATGGAAAATGTATTATCAATTTAAACAATACAGAAACGACATGAAATTAGACAACTCTTCTATATGGTTATTAGCTATAGTATTAACCATCTCACTGTTGTGTTGAATTAAATTCAATTACAAGTGGCCTCATTTTTGTGTCAAATTAAGTTAAATTATAAGTTAGAATAACTTTTATGTTTGTTTTCAATGCCTCAAATAGAATCAGCAGATCACATAGAGAAATTTTTTTCTACTTAATAAAATATCAATTCCGTCAAATAGAAATAGAAAACATAATTTTAAACATAAATTCCCATGGTGAATAGAGTATTTATAAATCTAGTATGCGGAGAGTTTCTAAAAGGAACATGACAAATCACTTCAACAGAGTAAAAACTGAACGCCAACGGTTATTTAGATTTGGACTGGAAAAGTTGTGTTTTGTGCCTTTTTTCCATTTTCATCCCTTTATGGGTGACATTAAGTGATATGTGGGGCAACCGTATCTAACTAAAGCAAGAGTGAGATTTATTATAACAATGCAATTTAGGAAAGCTTAATAAAAAAGAAGTTCGTTAATTGAAGTGGACATTTTTTGGGATGTGCCCAAGAACAACATAAAAGAGGAATGATATCTGAAAGTTAGCTTTATGGAATCAAATGTAGTCTCTTAGATGGAGGAAAGACAAATTTTAGTATCACCAACTCAATGAGGTGTGTGTATAGGCATTAATTGCATAGTAGATGAACTATAATTAAAACAAGGAAGATCAATTACCTGTAGATTGACCAGAAGGTGATGATGCCACAGGTGGTGGTGGGGATGGAAGAGTCCTCGGTTGTAGTTTCTGTGGAGAAGGTACAGACGCAGGCTTTTTGCCCCCATTCTTAATCTCAACTTCTCTGCTCCCCAATTTTATATCTAAGATGACCCATTTTATTGGGGGAGATTTGTCTCTACCGTTAGCACTTGGACATGTTATAAATAGAACTCCATAAAGAACATAACAGAATTTACAAGAAAAGGTTCCTGAGACAAATTATCTTATTATTTAGAGCGAACAAGTTGTAAATTCATGAAATAAGCTTGTGGAAATTTTAGTTTAAGGTAAACAATGTCAAGCAGTTTATTTAGCACACTGCTACACTCTAGGAGAACTTTTCACAAAGAAATGTGAATAAACTTATTGTATCTCTATTCAAAGACAAACTCTCCCCAATATGCAGTGTCATAACAATCTGTCATCTCAAGATGCAGTTAAGATGTAGTTGAAAGGACTCACCAGCAGGGGGTGCTGATGATGGCAGCAACTGTGGTGGGGGGGTAGGTGGTGACAATTGTTCTGGCATGGATTCGGGTTGAGACCCTGATGGACGTCCTTCATCATCATTTTTTCTCTCTCTTTTGCTCCCCATTTCGTTTCCTACAATGTTCAGAATTCCTTGGTTTTTCTTTCCACTCAATGTCCAATTTCTCAATTACAATATCATTTCACAATGTCAAATGGGCAATCAAAATTACCATAAAGAATGAAAAAATTGCATGTGGAGGAAGAAAACTGAGGCAGCCGGAACTCACCTTTAAAATCCATTAAAATGGATCCTTTTCAACCCTAAGTTCAACTATCACGTCTACTTCACCCAGCACACAAAACCCTCAAAATCTTGCACACTCACTCTCACTTGACATTCTCAATGCTTAGAAATGCAAAATAAGTACTGATGCGTTTTTCTTTTGCAAGGCGAGGCATCCACAAAACCAAACAAATAAGTTAAAAAAATATAAAATGCAAGTTAGCGTGTGACACACCATAATCAAAATTCAAAATTCATAAACAGAAAAAAAAATCAATAAAGTAGCAAAATTAAATCATTCCCTACTCATGTCAAGCCTTCTTTAGTTATTAGTTAGAACATGCATGCATTAGTGCATCACACGTACATTTGAGAATTAGTTAATTAGCAGAATGAATTTATTCACGATACACGTCAAATATTTATACAAGTTTGATCATATTGTATAAAGGAAAGTTGAATCTCCTATTACTATTTCGTCTATCTAAATAAGGAAATACAAAATAATAATTTCTATCTCTATAAATTCTAATTCTCCCCATTAAGTTGGTGCATAGATATGACACGTGCTTAACTTGGATAATAATGTATATAATGGTCCACTTGAAACGGTGTGGTCACTATATGAGCTAGTTGATCCATACTAAGTATGGGACCTCTATACTCCCAGAGTTGAGCTTATCCTTTATATAATTTTTTTTAGTTCAGCGTTCTGGGTTTGATCATAGTGTATCAAGTTATTTGCTATCTCAATAGCTATTGTATTATCATAGAAAAGCACCATGAGTTTCTTTGGACCAAATTTAGGCTTATTAAGAAGAGAATTCAGCCACGTAAGTTAGGTAGTTGCATGATGAGCGAGCTATTCTGCTACAGTGATACCACATTTCGTTTCTTACCCACCAAGTTACCAAATTGCCTCCAACAAAAGATACAAAACCTGACGTAGACTTCGTATCAAATCTTCACCGAGCAAAATTAGAAGAAACCCGCATTATCTGGATGACCATATTAAAAGAACATAGTTACCTTGCCGAAAGAAGAATTTAAATACGCCGAGATATGATTTATTGCATTTTATGTGATGGTCACTCGATTATGCATAAATTGGCTCACGACACTCATTGCAAAATAACAAGTCAGGTGTTGTGTGAGTCACGTGTTAACATTTGGCAATCGGTCTGGCCTTATACCTGTGACAATCTCAATGAATTAGAGGCGTGCGTTGTGAGGTTTACGCCTCCATCGGTACAGGTGTAACGCCTCCAAAAGGGTTTATAAATGATATATATGCTCACAAGCTTTAATTTGATTGCAAATACGAGTGACGGAAAAGTGGAAGGGGAGAAGAGAGAGAATGGGATAAGGGATAATTAATTATTAAAACAGAAATGAAGATTGTTAATATAGTTTTGTTTTTTTTGTTTTTAAATATTCAAGAGGATTAGATTAGTGGACTTCCAATTAAATATACGAGGTAACTTAATCTTGTCCATTTGTTCTGCCTATTTACAATATATGTTCGAAAGCATATGTTATATCTAATCTATAATATATAATATATTGATTCCTACTTCTTATAAGGTATGAAATTTGACTCTTTGTAGGCACCAGTATGACAACTCTTGTACCTCGGCCTGCTGAGGCACATCCAGGGATTTACCTCCTCCACAATGCTCTAGGAGCGAAGCAGAGCGGGGCGGGGCAGGGGCTCAAGGTTGGGGTACACCTTTTTTTTTAATAATATATAATATATTAAAAGTCCCATTATATGAGAATCCGTTACATTCATTGAACTGTTTTACTAAACTATTCAATTCATTAGTTATAAATGCTAACTTCTCATTCAATGTAACCATTTATGATAATAAATCTTTTCATATTTCTTCATACAAATTAAAATTTGAATCTTTCTCCCTTTCATATTTCTTCAGTGCAAATTCAAACTTGAATCAACAACTATAAAATACACCATCATCTGTCTTTTAATCAAAATTTCTCTATGCCTTTTTCTAACGATAATCTATGATATATATCTATAACATACTAAAAGTCCATGAGATGAATCATTTCATGGACAATTTTATCCCAATTACATAAAGAATATTACAATAGGATCCTTCATACATTCATGGAACTGTTATGCTAAATTCTTTTGTTCATCCAATTATAAATCTGGCCTTCTCATTCAACATATCAATTTACGGTCTCCTTTCAAATTTCTTCAATGCAAATTCAAACTTGAATCACCAACTATATAATGCACCTTCGTCTCTCTTTAAATCAAAATCTCTCTCTGCCTCTTTCTTAATCAAAATCTATGTAAGTGCTCTTTTAATCATTTTTCCGTTTCTCTTCATAATAATCTCAAATCCTAAGCTTCACGTTCAATTCAATATTCTTCATACATTAATGTAATGACAGAATGTTTATATTTATATACACATATATATGCTGTATTATTTTTATGTAGCAATGTGGACAATAGAATTGTATTTAAGCCACTGCATGCCAAACTTGACATAGAATTCACAACACTGAGTAGAATGATGGCAAAATGCATTATCTATACAGAAAGATGGCATAGGGAAAAACAGAAGCCTCACCAGAAGAAACAGATAATGATGGCTGCAATGGTGGTTTGTATGGCGGCAGCATCTGATGTGGAAAAGTTGTTTCCCATCCAGGTGGGGGGCCATCATCTTCAACATCATGCAGTTCATTGCTCTCCACTTTAATCTCTGTGATGTCCAAGTTAACATATATCAATCAGAGGCATCAAGTAAACTTAAAACACACCCAAAGGCTTGTTCTGCATTTTGTTGTGAAATCATCGGGGCCTGTAGGTCTCCATTGGTCTAGTATTTCATAAAATTAACAGTTACAGAATATTACTCAAATTTGATGAGTTGATTGTGTCAGACTTATGCTTATAAAGAGACCATGTGCAGGATCTAAATACTGCAGCTTTCAAAAATTCTCATTCTTCAAATCAATTCTTAGATCACTATGACCAAAAACTCGCTGATGAATATCATTCCTGAAATTAGGTATTACATTATTGCGCATAGAGTCCAGAGCAAAACTATTTCCAAAGTAAAGTGATTAACATGTATGCATCAAACAAGTGATGCAAAAAAAAAGTTTAAAGAAATGCTTCAAGGATGGCAAAGCCACATTAAATTGTGCACTTACCCAAGATGGTTCACAGACTAAATGCAATAAAATAAAATAAAAAAATGAGAAATATGACCTGCTGTATCCATAGTGGGTTCTGATGGTAATGCTTGAGAAAGAGAACGAAATTCCCATCCTGGAGGGGGCCCATCTACGTCATCTTCAAATCCATCTCGTTTGCCCCTCATTTCCATATCTGAACGATGACCGCCAGTTGATTCATTTTATAAATCATCCAGAAGCTTTTCAAATATATAGTGATTAACAAGAATGCCTTAAAAAAGCCTCAAACAAGCAAGGGCAAAATGATTTCAGATGATTTCAGATAAGAGCTGCAAAGTTCCCTCACATTATGCACTCATTCCAAGAGGGTTCACAGATTAAATGAGATTAAATAGAAAAAGGAGAAATATGACCTGCTGTATTTGATTTTGATTTTGATTTTGATGCTAATACTTGAGAAAGAGAACTAAATTCCCACCCTGGTGGGGGACCTTCCCCGCCATCTTGAATGCCATCTTGTTTGCCCCTCATTTCAATATCTGAATGCTGACAATGACTTAATTTGTTGTATAAATCATCAAATAGCTTTCCAAATTAAGGTGATTAAAAAGCATGCCTCAAACAAGCAGCAAAAATAGTTACCGAAAAGTTACACGCAGCACTTATTCGGAGAGTTCACAGACTAAATGCAATAAAATAGGAGGAAAAATATGACCTGCTGTATTTGATGGTGGTATTGATGGTAACACTTGAGAAAGAGTATTAGATTCCCATCCTGGTGGGGGCCCATCTTTTTCGTCTTCGATGTCATTTTGTTTGCTCCCTATTTCCATATCTGAATAATGACAATGAGTTGATTCATTTCATAAATCATCAACTAATTGTAAGGACAACATAAAGCTATTGTTTGAGCCCTTTTTTGGGTAATAGATTTTGGAATGGTGATTTTTTGTTTGGAAAAATGAGATTTGAGAAAATGGGGCTCAAACAAGGGTAAATTTATGTACAACTTCTCAAACCATTTATGGATAATTTCAAAGAATTAAAAGGAGCTGCCAGGATATTAAACAATCAAATAAATGTTGTTTTATATTATCCCAATTGTTGTTCAACTTCCATTATATGGTGGGAACTGGGAAGCTTAAAAAGAAGCAGCATGTTATCCTTCTGAACATGTCAAAATAATATTAACAAACGCAGTCTGCCAGATTATGTTTGATGCATGTATTAGATAATTTTAATCACTGCTACCACAAAAATGAGGGGATAAAAAGTTGCGCACAACAAGCAATGAAACTATGAAAGATAACGGCATCCCCTAGTTAAAGCCATTGGATAAACGAGTAGCAATATGGTTGATTAAATTTAATAAATACAAGAGAACCGCCTAAGGAAACTCCCAAACTTGGCAAGGAACAACAATTAAAAGCCGCTTAATTACAATGGGTATATATGATCATAGCGTAAATTAACTAACCGTTCAAATTTTAGAATCCAACATATCTGACCAGAAACAACAAAAAATCGACAATGATATATACGTGCAAAACCGAAATTTCAGGAGATGTTCAAATTTTAATCTTTCTCGCATTGGTAAAAAGCCCAAAGTTTTCCATGATTGATGCAAAAAGTTAAGCTTTCAAAAATTCATTCTTCTCAATATCCAAACATAATTTTTTAAAATTTTGCATATTTTTCTTCAGCGAGGGTGCGTGCATTCTTATGTGCCAATGATACTAACATACACAAAAATCTTTTTTGAGATTTCGTAAAAGACAGCAATTTGATGGTACAAGAACCAAAGGTGAGATTTAAATAAAACGGGTATGGCTGCAATAATCCGTCTCACCGGAAGATGGCTGTGACGGTGGCGGAGGCAGATTGATAGGGTGGAACCCAGGCGGAGGACCTTCTTCTTCACCGCCACTTTCGTCAAAGGCTTCAGCTTTGTCAGACGGAAAATTCTGCTGGGGTGGCTGCGGAGTGATGATGGACTGAAACCCAGGCGGTGGACCATCTTCTTCCTCTTCAATTTCTTGCACGATTTCTGGGTTGTTTCCCATTTTCACTGTGGGTTGTGGGGTTTATTGTGAGGTTTTAAGCCAAAAATGGATCCAAACTTTATAAGCACCGCTGTTCTCGTATGACGCCTAGTAGAATAGCACTGGAGTTATCACTGAACAGCCTTTCAGTCCCGCTGAGTAAATGTATCAATTCATATAATAAATTCAATCTTATCAGTTAAATGTTTAATTCTTAGGTTCATAATATGAAGTCACCTAACTTAAAAAGAATTTTGATATCTGATTTAATATCACATTAGCAGCACGTGAACTAATATTTAACATCAATGATATTAAATATCATTACTAACTTAAAAATTCAGTCGCAAATATCGAGTCTAAAAATATGACTGAAACAAAATGATTATAATTGTACTTTGGAGCATAAGTGTTACACTTTGTGCAACACGTGTTACATACTATGTTATATTTTTGTCATCGCCACCACAACTATTGATGCCTATCGCTACCAATGCAGATGTCGAGACTCTAAGACACCTATCATCGACGTGAATCTCTAATGCCTTCATACATGTCGTGTAACCTTTCGAACACGAACTTTGTAAAAGCCATCACAACCACCATCAATACATAGTTCTCCTCCATCGGTTGTCGCCTTGGAGGACTACCAAACAACCACATTAGATATTGTAATCCACCTCAATGAGGCACCCCCATTAGATTTAAACACAAAACTTTTAGAGAAGAAGAAAAGTCTCTTGAATCAAGGTAGCCAATGTAAGACCAATTACTTGTGGCTCACGTAATATTATTATGGAATTAATCAAAGTGGTTTTATGATACTATAATTTAATTGGCTCATCGAGAAGTGACACTGTTTTAACTGCATACTTTGACGGAAAGTTGACAGTTTTAAGATCCATTTGGAACTCTCTCTCTCTCTCTCTCTCTCTCTCTCTCTCTGTGCCTATAAATTTGTATCCTATCTAATTAATCACGTTCATTTCAATTACAAAGAGGAAAAGAGATAGAACAATTTCTTGATTTTCTTACTTCTCTTTATTTTGCAAATCCAAATATTCCAATTAAGTGTTGTGGATCAAGGTATGTTTCTTAATTTATTTATTTATTTATATATATAAATCATAGAATTCCAGACATCTGAGAATTAGGGTTGAATTGCTAATCGCCAACGACCCAACACCACAACAATGCTCCTTCTCACCTTATTTGTTCATTATGTTTTGTCTCCAAAATCCAATGAAAGTTAATTTTGATCGGATGTTTGACCAGGCCAATATGATCATGCAAAAGCTCCTAACGGGTGGTGGATTGTGCCCATAGTAGCAGTTTCTTGCCTAGGGATGGCAACGAGGTGGGATCAGGGCAACCTCTCCCTCCCCGCCAAGCAATTCCCCACCCCATCCCTTCCCTGTTACCAATTTAAGGCAAGGCGGGGCGGGGCCCCGTTTTATTTTATTTTTTTTTTTTAAGTTTTTGATAATTTATTTTTATTGTCTACATTCATTAGATTTAGACAAATAATTCTAATTGTCATTTTCTATTAGAACTAATGAAATTTCGTAAAATTTTTCATTTAAAGTATTGAATTCTAAAAAGGGGGGGGCGGGGTGCCCATTACCCTGTCCCTGCCCCGAATACCCGATGAAGCGGGTTATCCCCACCCCGTTCGGGGCGGGGTCCCGCGTGTATCAGATTGTCGGGTTTTTTTGTCATCCCTATTCTTGACATTCGACCATGGCGTGTTAGAGGCTAGAATTGATGACATATATGAAAATGGGAGTTTTAAGAATTGAAAGCAATAAAAAGGATCGTGCACATTAACTATTACTAATATAAAAAACCAACAGTAAATTTGGAATATTCTCTTAAATCACAGTTGTAGCCTTAATTTCCTCTAAAACAATGCGATGAAGTAGAAATCCTTTTCACTAGGTACACAGAAAAAATATACCAAGAACCACAATTGTCAAATAAAGAGAAATCTATATCTATATAAGAATGCATTTGTACAAGAATAAGTCAAAAAAACAAAACAAAACAAAACAATTTTCAAATAAAGATAAATCAATTTCGTTCAGTACCACGAACTTTTTCCAACCAATTCGTGAAAGAGTTTAAATATAATTGACTAAATGTGTCGCGAAAAACTTTAATGTCCAACTTGAAATTTTACACAAACTAACAACAATAGCCAAAAATTAACCTTAACATTAAACATTTTATTGTTGGAATTTCACGAACAATTCATAAAGATACATACATAGATAAAATACTATAGAGTGATAAATATATAAAATTGTATGTATAAAAAATACTGACTTGGACTAGATAGAGACTAGCAAAGAGCAATGTACTAAAATAGTATTTCACTCTTTCTCAGTGCCTAAAGTTTTTCAAGTGTCTGTCTTTCAGGATAAATTATTTGTTGTTAGAATTCTAGCACTAGATTTCTAATCCAACTAGAACTTTGTATTTTTCCTCTTCTATGAATGTGAATATTTGGAGTGCAATAACTAATAATGCACATGAAACCTGTAATATTCTATCCATACATTTAGATACTAATAGAACTATTTCAACATATACAACGGTAAATGTTATGCCCAAAGTCCAATCAAAATTTGACATAAATACTTTAAATATATAATTGATGCATTTCATTATGGCATATCTATTATTTAATTAAATTAATATTCTAATAAATTAAATAATAGATTTCGTAGATTCAAATCTTGGTAATATATTAATCACAAGGAGTTGTGATTGTAAGATACAAATTATATATGATTAAATTTTAAATCATTTATGGTCGTAAGTAATAACAAGATATGAATATCGTTATTACGGATAAACCATCACGTGTGTTATTTCTCACTTGTGAAGTAAATAGCCGATCTCACAAATTAAAATGTGATGACACTTAAATGAACATGTGGATATTTTGTTATAAAGCAAAACATTGAAGACCAGTTAGGAAAACTCCACATGGATAACTATTTGAGTGTCAGTGGTCAATCTTTAACGTTTGGTAGTGAAATTGGTCCTTCGACTTGAGGTCATCATAATGTCTTATATGAGGACAGTTATATTTTGGTGATATTGGATGTTGCTCTGTCAATAGTCACTAATACGGTATCGTTCGAGTATGTCAAAAATTATATGAAAATTGTGAATGATTAATAGATTATTCGTCACTCTTAGATAATAAAAAATTATGATCTACATTTCATTCAGTTAAGTTGATAACGAAATCATTAACCAAGGTATACTCAAAAGTTGAAAAAGAGTTTTCAACTTATATTGACTTAATAGTGTGATGAAATATGTGATTGATAATTGAAATTGACACATATCCATATCTCATAATTGGTCGGATTATATTGACAAAAGGATTATAGTTTCACGGTAAACGAACACGTTTGATTTTGTCATACCACGAGACATTTTTCGTCACATGTATTGCTCTGACACATTGTTAGATGTTAATTTGAGATGACGGATGTCAATTGATGATAAATTGAAATGGGTATTTTAAATTATCGATTTGATTAAATCAAAATAATAATTCACGTCGTTAGGTATCATGATCAAAAAACTAATGGTTCACATACAAAAGGAGAATCAAAAGAATGAAATTCACCAATTAATTAATTAATAAGTGTTGGACAATTAATTAATTAATTTGCTTGTTAATAGACTCAAATTAATTCATTGGATCAATTAATTCATTGACCAAATTTGAGTAATTGTATTAATTAAATATTGGACCAGGATTAAGTTTAAAAGACAAGTCAAGTTCACTTGGACTTATATTAATAAGTTATTAGGGTTTTAGAAAAATTAAATTCAATTCATTATCTTACTAGTACAAGAAAAAAGAAACTATAATTCTCTCATTCTTGTTCACTGTGTAGATTTCCATTAGAGGTTGGATAGATGTGAATTGCAGATCGTGATTGTTCGTGTTTCAAGATCAACAAAAGAGTTTGTAAAATCTACAAAAGGTATAATTTCTATTACAATTTCTTTCTAAACACAAAGAAAATCTTTGGTAGGAATTGAAATTATTTTATTTTCTGTTGTGTGTGATTAAGTAAATTTTCAACAACTTCTTGGATATTGCAAATGCTAGAAAAAAACTGTAAAAAAATGGTTATGGAACTTAAATACAAGAGGGATCTCGATTCTCGACCAAAATGGTCGGTACCAAGGAATATGCCACTCATATTCCTAGTAAAGCTTCTCTCATCCTTCATGGCGGTTTCCCTCTAGTTGATGTTACTCTCTATCGACAATTTTCTTGTGCCCTCCAATACCTCTCTTCCCCTTGTCTAGATCTTTCCTTTGATGTAAATAAACCATCTCAATTCATCCATTGCCCCTTAAATAATCATTGGTTTACTGTCAAAAGAATTCTCCGCTATCTCAAACATACAATCCATCATAGATTCATCTTTTGCAAAAAAATCAACATTAGACAGCCTTTATCGATGTCGATTGGGCTAGTAATCATGGTGACCATTACTTTACCTCTGCTTACATTTTTTTATCTTGGTGGTAAGTTTTGAAAAGCTGAAGTGGTTATTAGATCATCCACTAAGGCTGAGTATCGTGCCCTTGACTCTTGCTCACTTGAGCTTCTATGAATCAAAAATCTATTACAGGAGCTCAAGGCGCAGCTACCAAATTGGCATACCATATTTTATGACAACATTGGAGCTACATATCTTTCGGTCAATCCAGTTCTCCACTCCCGCATGAAGTAGATTACTATTGATTATGATTTATGATCAATTAGTTGATACTCTTACTAAGTTATTGTCCACTGCCAAATTTACTCACCTACTACCCATGATAGAAACCTTCGACAGTGCTCCATCTTGTGAAGAATTGCTAAGGATAATACTGAATTGAAGATATATTATCTTCAATCAACAGAAGATAATGCTCATCACAAGAGTTACAGATACACACCATTAGTCAAGAATAAGGATCATCTGAAACATATTTACCCC